GACTGCGACCGTTCGGAACTAGTCTTGTAAGACAATGTTCCCAGGGGCTCTTCATGCCCTAACTTGAAATCAACCCACAGCCCCTGGGTCTCCGAGGATGTGAACTCATGTGCAAGTGTACAATACTTAAAAATTTTGCACCAAATGATGAGTTTGAATCGCTACATTGATAAACCATGAAAATTGTGTCAAACACTCTAATTTTTTACTGATGGTGCCCAGTAGTAATTTTAATGGTTAAAGCCATGGTATTAGCTTCCATTTAATCTTCACAACTGATATTTTAAAAAGGTGAAATTTGCCCAAAGGAATTGAAAGGAAGATGGCACGTGGTGAGTAAAGTGGCAACCATTGATTTGTTTATGAAAGATAGTTTTCTTTTCAAGTGTACTCTGTAGAGGTTCTGGAAGTTTTGCTGATTAGGCATTCCATGTTTTTCTTACCCTGATGCAAGCATGACAAGGAAAAGCCACTATTTAAGATTTTTTCCAAGACAACAATATGTCTTCCTAAGTAGATAATTTCTCTCTTTTTGAAACTCTTCTGGAATCAAGAATTTTACTTTTGTTCATGGTGGCTATGCTCTTTGAGCTGAAAATTCCAAACTCCTTTTGTCTACTTGTGGCTTTTGCATAAATTTCAGGGATAACTTTGACCAGGAGGGGTAACTTTTAGTTGTTGCATAGCAGGGCTTCTGTTAACCCTCTGGCTTCCAAAATTTGACTGTTAATTCTCCCCTCTAGTTGCTACACTTTTCCATGTCTATAAGTTTTGAGAATTTGGTATCAAATCAAGGTAACAACTTCTACCTGATAAGTTTACAAGTGTATTCTCATTACTAGTTTGCTGGATGATATATGGATATTACAGGGAGAAGCTACTTGTTAATCACTTTTGGGAGTTTTAAGTGTTAAGGTGTAACTTTAATCTGGCCTTATGATTAGAAGTTCATGCACCACTCAGAAATTTCTTTGGTGACAACATCAGTATGAGGGCCATGGTAGAAGCATTTTATTCATACCAGCAAACACATGTGGGTTTTCTCAAGAATTGCTGGTATATATATCTCATGTAAAGTGATTGTTTTGTTAGAAATAGCTATCCATCTTTGCTCTTTTCCTTCTTTGTGTTATTCCACTCGTGCTCAGAGGCCAGGAAATACCTAAAGATGGTGAGCTGACAAGTTTCAGAGAGAAATTAAAAGACCCAGGCTGACAGGGTCAAACAAGCAAAGGCCAGGGCTGCAAAGTTGTAAAAGCCTTTGAAAATGATTCAAACAAGAAAGGTGAGAAAGCAAAAGAAAACTAGGGCCACATAGGTTTACTCAGTGTTAAAAATTTTATTTCTTGTGTGCTGATAATATTTGCTGTGTGTTGTCTGATTATGGGCTCCAAAACTGTCATCACGGAACAAGATATAATTACTCTTAAGGTTCTTGTGGTGCATGTCTCAAGTGATGAAAATAAACAAATCTTGAGTCCTTGATAAAGGGTGCTAAATGAAGTTTTTTTCCGCTTATTATCTGATGATACATGCACAATTTTGTTACCTCAGTTGATTATTGAATTAGAGGGAAAGTACATATTAAGCTTGATTATCAATTAAAGGAAGACATGAAATTTTTGTCATGTTGAAGACGTAGAGGCCCAACAGTAAGTGTATGCTAGAGTTTTGTTCAGTAGGTCTGGTTTTGAGACCTTGCAATAGTCATTGTGTTGTGTTCTTGGTCAAGACACTCCTTTGTCTGTGCTTCTCTACCCACAGGAGTGTGAATGGGTATCAGAAAACTGCAGAGTTGGGGGGGGGATTGGCATCTCATCCAGGGTGGTACTACCGCCGACATATAATTGCTTCTTGCTTCAGTAACAGGGGTAAGCTAGGCTGAATGAGTCACTTGACTCTGATGATGACTTCCCCTAAGATTGTCGAAATGTCAGTCACCTCTATTGACAACAGTCCTTCTCTAGTCTATGATTTGTTTACTAGATGATGATCAGACCAAAAATTTAGCAAGAGAGTACAAACCTTGAAACTTGTTATTTTTAATCCCAGTGAGGATCCTCATCAAGGCCTCGCTATTTACTTTTTGCCATGGAGGAGATAAAAGTCCATCATCTTTTTAAATTCCATGCGTACACGTACTTGTTAGGAACATGATCAATCTCATTATTTATGTCTGTTGCTGTTTCTCTTAACTGAGACAGCACGATTTTCATTGACCAACTAGACCAACTCTCTTTTAGTGAACTGCAATTTGAAAATATCACCTTTTTTCTGATTTGTAGATCATCTGCAGGTTTCTTGCCAAGAAGTGACATGTAAAGGAACTCCTGTTGAAAGGAAGACCTTTTCTGGAAAAGGAAAATTCATCAAAAAAACGTTCTATAAAAACAATAAACATCTCAAAATAATTTCACAATGGCATCCACAGATGCATGATTCAAATCAAATTTTTCCAAGCAGAAATATTGCAATAGATGTGATCTGCACACAGCATGGAAGCTTTAGGAAAACTTTTTTTTCTTTGAAAAGAGAGCATTTTACTGTTTGAATCAGCCACTTTATGCTGCTGAAGGGCCGCTAAATTTGCGAAGCGAGCACGCTCTTGAGTCCTGTAGCAGAATGATGTAACGTACAATGGTGGATCGATGGGATGGCAGAATATCTTAAGACGTGGAATGACAAGTTTATCTTAAAACACAGTATGCCTTTATGTATGAAACAAAAGCCTAAAAATTGGCAGTGCAATAAAACAAGAAAATATTTTACAATTGACAGGCGAAATTAAAAGAAGCATTGGTAATCATTGGTAATCATTGCCCAGAGGATAAGAGAACCATGAGGCTTTCGACCTAGCCCCTTTAATTTATTATTATAAAAAAAACTATTGTAATCATTGTTATTATTGGTAATATTATTTGTTACCAATTAATTATTGGTTGAATGTCAGTTAGACAACATAATCTTAAAGCATCTTTCTCGTGTGGGACAGGTTACTCAAAAATATGTGGGATGCGGCAGGTTTTCTGTTTTGCACATGAGAAAAATATTCTGCAAAACTACCTTCTAGCACCATTATACATCCTCTTGTTCTTTTCAAAACTTTAAAAATTGTGTCATACCAATAGCTAAGTGCAGTCTTTGACTGTATATTTTTGTATTTGGACCTTTGTGGCTGATTTGTGTCACTATATTCCTCATGTAGAAACAGGGGACTCGTAAATATGTGGGATGCCGCAGGTTTTCTGTTTTGCATGTGAATACAAATCTTCTGGAAGCCTACCTTCAAGCATCATTAAACATTTTTTTTGCTTAGAGCAAGTTTGAGTGCGAGTACAATTAACAATTATCCGTTGTCCGTTATCCAATGTATTAAAACTTGTGCTATATCATTAGCAACATGCATTCTTAGACTGGCTATTTTTAGAAATGCCAAATCCATAGCCGTTTTTTAAAGATCTGGCATAATTCGGAAAGTTACGCTCCGTCTGCATCAGGCATTATACTTAATTGTAACTAGGAGGATATTTTTGTATCAAAATTAAGCTTGGTTAATATGAATAATCCCACAAATTCAGCAGGAGTGACGCGCATTGGGTGCTCCATGTTCTCTATCATTCATGTGGAGCTGAAAGGAGAAACAATTTGGTTCACGCTTCGTCTGTTTCTTACAAACCCCACCCGATTTAACACCATGTGTTTAGAGCAAGCGGCGCTTAGACCCATGTCCTTAAGTTTGGAGTAAGACATACCTCCCAGCTTTGAGAATGGAGTGCCCCCTTCCTTCTTCCCCCTCACTCCTCCCCCCTCTCGTGTCTCGTATAAACGACATATATTAACCATCGTTGTGATGTTTATTACTTTTTTCAATACATCTACTTATTTTTATGGTCGGTATGTTAAGTGGGCTAGCGGGCACAAGATATTTAGTAATCGGTGTTACCTCGAGTACGTTTACCAAACTGGCAAACTTTCATGGTGATAGTGTTCGAAGCTCTCAGCTCTGATAGTCCCTGATACGGCATAGTTTGTAGCACTGAACACTCCATAAGGAAAGGATGGTAAATTTGGAAGAAGTCTCTACTCATAGGCGCGGGAAAATGACACAGTAAAAGTCAGTGGAATTTGTTAAACAAGACTTGCTCTTAGAAACAAGCTTCATTAACTTGGAGCGCAGTGCGAATTAAGAGAAATAGCACAACTTTTCGTGTATAGAACTGATTTTACGGAAAAGGCGAAATGTTTCGACGACATTTCATGTTGTAGGATCGTCTTCTAAGTACTTTACAGATCACATCTTTGTTCTAAAAGAATTTTTCGTTAAATTGGCGCCAGACCAGAGTTCGCTTTTCGAATTTCATTAATTAGTGCGGCACCTCTGGGGTTATTTTAGTAATGCTGTTTACGATTTTTTCCTTTTTCTCATTCATGACAATAAGACATTTTTTTTGAGAAAGCACTTAATTATCAAATAACTGGCTATAAATTCAACGGGCAGCCCTCTGTTTTCGCGAAACTCAGCGACCTGAAATCTTTGTCTTACTAGTTACGAGAATCGCACTCTGCAAACCTTACACAAGAACTTTAAGTGAACACACTAACCCGCTGTGTTCAGTTATAGCTCTTGTTCAATTGAAATAAGTGTTTTATTTTATCAAATTCACCACACGAAAAACGCAATGCCGCTCCCGTTAGGCACCATCAAACATAAACAAACTTTAATTAAGAAAGTTTCTCTCAAAGCCCTTTTCAATAATTGATGTATTTCAAAAAGTTTTGGGTGTATCCTAGGCTTGTATTTGGCAAATGATTTACCTAAACAACAGGTACTATTGACAGCAGAACACAGTAACTTTTCAACAGAGGGCTTTGTTAACTGCATCGTAAATGGGGAAATATTTTCAAAACTAGCTTCACGGGGAAATTAGTAGAGAATGGGTTCCCAAAGCTATTAAACCACACAATATAACGAGGCGTAATTACCCAGAATTCGAAAAAGCAAAAAAATTCAGTTACTTATTCTGGAAATTTCATGCGCTGGGAAAAATAGGGCTATTTTCACTAGACGGGCGACATTTGTTGCATGATATCTATTTACATTTAGCGTTTCAAATTAATGCTTTCAGGTACCCAACGAGTTCCAAAAAATTGTTTTGCAAAACAGACTAATTGCGGTTGGCGGGCGTCAGGGAACACAAATAAACTACAACTTGCACGAGCCACGTTAAAACGTAGCCTTGTTTCGTCAGGTCAAAGACGTTGTTCACTTAAGTTTAAGGCTTAACAGTACCAACTAAGTGAATTCAACACCGACTAATAGCAAAATAAAAAGCGATATTTTGCTATACTAACTCATCTGATGAAGGTAAGTGCCAATTTGTTGACACCCACCAAAACAGGTGGTAACAGCGAAATAATTGAACAGCAATGAAAATTACAGCTCAGTGTTGCAGATGAGAATTTTACCACATAAAATATGCTGGTCAAGATAAAAGTCACAAAGATGTGGACAGCTGGATATTTATTTTTAAAAATTGTGCGAGAGTTGGAATTAACTTAGTAAAAAGATATTTTTTAAACACAAGCAAACTTAGCCAAGCGGGACAATGTTTTTTTTTTTTTTTTAAGCGTTCAACAATAATATTTGTCCCTGTGGAGATGGGTTGGGAAAGGGCTGACATCATAATGAAAGATATTATTAGATGGATTCAATAGAAATTACAACATAAATAAATAACAAAGAGAAACTAAACATACTTGGCGAGAAAATTAGTGACAAAACAACATAAATTATACATCAAGGCTATAAGGAAAACATCAACGAAATTTGTACATTTTCCTTTTCACAATTGCACGAGATGCCAAAGGTCATTGAAATTTATTGGGCCCGTTGCATCATTGAAAGTCGATGATAAAAATTAAGAAAAATAAACAAATAAAAGAAAGAGCAGAGAGGAAAATAAAATTCTAACAACTAAGATAACACGTTATCGAACATCAGGTATAGTAACCTGCTCACGCCAGAGAAAAAAACGTGTTGATAACACTGATGGTTAAGTACCATTAAGAATTTTACTTGCCTCAAGTAATTCATACTTAAATCAGCCGCGTCTAAACTTAGCGATTGTGACTCATGCTCAAACCCCGAGCGAATTTCTTTGATCTTTGAACTAACGCAGCTAAACAAGAGTTAAAGCTGGTATGAACGGGTTAAGTTACAAATAGTAAAAAAAACTGCGCTGTATGTTTGACCAGCCTGCACAAAAAAAAAAAAAAAAAAAAAAAAAAAAAAAAGAACGGAAAAGACGTTGGAATTATTTAATCGTGGTTATAAATCATAAAAATTCCGCAAAATGGGAAGCCTCGCGGCCCAATCGAGAGTAATGTTACAGGAGCCTTACTGCACGACATTTTGAACCGTTTTCAGCTAGCCTCTGGGAGAATCACCTTTGTATGAATGACAAAATCCTGAAATAACCTTTCTCTGGTGCAGACAAACACCCAGCGAAGAAATAATCAAACACAGGGGAACAAGAACATTAATGAACGGCCAAAACCAAAACAGATCGCCGCTACAATATTTTGAACTATTTTAAGCTCCAGAAAGAATCTCCTTTAAATAACATGAAACCTTAAAATAACCTGCTGCTAACGTAGAAAAAAACCACAGAGGGTTTAATTAACGGATGGCCAAGATTGAAATAAGTTGCACCGTGATATTTTGACTCTTCTTTAGCCTCTGAGGAAATCTCATTTGAATACGAAGAAAACTTCAAATCATCGTTTTCTAGTGTAGACAAACATCACAGCCGAAAATAAAATCAAATGGAAACAAGAATTATAACGGATGGCCAAACTTGAAACGGATACAAATGACAAATTTGAATACGTAAGCCTATTTTTTTTCCTTTTCTTTTCTTTTCTTTTCTTTTCTTTTCAGAGAATCAAACCTTGGCTCAGGTCCTTTTATTTCGGACCCATCTAATGGATTAGGGGTAACGCCCTTTTCGATTTTACGAAGTCATCGTGCATATAGAGTCTGTAGTCCTCTCTCCCGGAACCCAAGTAAATAGTTTGGGTTTAAGAAGGGGAACTGGTAATTCCTTCGTGAAGATTTGAGATGCAACTTTAATCATCTCTTAACCTTTGATGATCGTTCGACCTGGAAAAGACGAAAAGTAAACAACATCATGTTAAGCAGTTTTGTCCAAAGCCATTAAACCTAATGCAACCTCTACACTCTTCACTGCAAAAATAACTTCTCAGTGGTAACAAGAGTTCCGGCAATCATGTTCTTTGCTGCCGCAGTAATGCGACGTGGACTGAAATAATTCTCCTGATTAAACGCGACTCGCTAACAAGACTACTTCTAAGTTAGTTTCACAAAGCAATTAAAGCGGCAGAACACCGGCTGGAATGCTTTTCTGAAGCGGAAAGATGAATTAGAGATTTACACCTAACACAGGGTTTTCAATAAAAGCCGTCGGGTTACCGGTGGTCTACCGTGGCCCCGAGACCTCTTGCGAGCAGGTTCTCGTGTTTGGGTTTCGCCTTACGACCCCTATTTCGAGCACAGCCGCTAAATACTTCATCGTCAGTCGCTTATTGGAGACGTTATTGAAACTCCTGCTTGACATCAGTGCTCCAGCCACATTTGAACCCAAAGCAATATAAAAAGATCTCAACATGGACAATAAAATATCAGACGAACCCAAAACATGAGAACATGTTCCAGTACTCCCTATCCAAAACAATGCACAAAAAGAAAGTACTAGTCCTAAAAAAAATGACTGGCGTTTATTTTACACACACACACACGCACACACACACACACACACACACACACACACACACACACACACACACACACACACACACAAAGAATATATAGAACAAAGGCAGAACTAGGAAAGAAAGAAAAAAATTTCTTTATGGCTGTCATATGTGATATAAAGAATTAATTCTCACAGGCACCGATTCTACTTAGCATACGATAGAATTGGTAAACAACAGATTTCGGGTTAAATTCTGTAAGGTCAACTTTGTCTCTATTGACAATGACCTTGAGCCAACAACAAATTTAATTTATGTAATGAACACCTGAGCCAAGCAAGTCAAACGATGTGTTTCAAGAATTTCACAAACACAACTAAATAAAAAAAAAAGGTTAACAAAAAAAAAAATCGACAAAAAATAAGATCTACAACCACAAACTTGAAATGGGACAAGCAACCATGGTGTGTCCCTGCCAAATTAACTAAAAAAAACAATAATAACCCACAACAAACCGCGTACGTTTTTGTCTCGAAAACAGAAGATTAAAAGCAAAATGTTTCTCGAGATCAACGAGAATAGAGATATACTGCATACGAGGGTGAAAAAACGAACGGTTTTTCATTCAATTGGCAGGTGAAAAAACAAATCAAGGAAACAGATTTTAAATTGCCAACGTATTTCGGCCATATGGGGGCTTTGCTGCATGCAGCTGCAACTGTAAAACAGAGATGACCTATACACAGATTCAAAGCCCCGTATGAACCCATAATCCTTAGGTTCAAAGTTATCTTTATCTTGCAACCGTTTAAAACCTTCCCAACTAAAAAGGTCAAACTTATACAGCATTTCAGAACACATTTTGCGAAAAAACGTCAAGTTGTCATAGAAAGCTAGAAATTTCCTTTTCATATTGCCGCCTATTTTTTTACTTTTTGTTTTATTTTTTCAGGACAACCAGAGAAGTTTTTCCATGATAGAAACTGTTAGAATACTAAGACAAATTCGACTTATCGTCCTAAAGACTGGATGTCACCATCACATAATTTGACAGCTACATTATTATGTTGGTGATTGGGAGCAAGAAAAAAATTATTAATTCAAAAAGCTGTCTAAGAAATTCGAAATTAATTTTGAAAGACCAAACCATATAATGAAATACAACGGATCAATTTCTAAGCTTGCTGAAGTCTTTCGGTTTTAAAACGGAAAATTGGTTTGTCTCATTAACTCAAACTACAAATTCAAATGAGTGCTTCGGACGGAAATGATAGTAACTTAGCTGCGATATCACTTCACCCCGAGAATGGTAATTGCTTTGGTAGGGCGGGCCGAGGAACAAGAAAGTTTAATTACTACCAAGAGATAATTCTCGTGTTTAGAAAAACGCCGAACGAGGGATAATTTCGGCGGAAAATTAAAACGCACAGTGCGGTGTCATTAAAGCCGAAACAACAATTGGTCTCAATCAAGGAACCAAAACGTGACTTAGAAAACGTCTTGCACAGTCAAGGAAGAAATTCTCATGCAAGCTAAATAAACATTTGGTAATTTCACTTCAGAAAGTCAATTTCCATAATCTCAAATATTAGCTTGGAAAGAAAAACACTGCTGTAGTTTGGCGCTCTTTCGATAAGCTAATCTACTTTTTTAACGTGCATCTCTTGGGGTAACTGAAGCAATCCTATGCAATGTCTACCTTTGTTTGGGGTCTCCCTTATCAAAGGTGAAAATAATGGAGATTTTAATGACTGTAGTCGGAGAAATGCTGCTAACAATCCATTTATGCAGTGTCTCTATCTGTTTTCGGTTTGATCACAGCACCCGCGAAATGATAAGGCAACATAACAACCTAAGGGCGGCCATAATTGTCGGACGATGTGATAAAAAAAATTAAGATACGAAACTTTGCATGCAATTCAGAACGAAAAGGAAAATGCTTGCGAACCGTTGTTTCTATTTTATTCTTTTCGGATTAGAATACCAAAAGGTTCTATTAAAAAATTTGGCGATAGAAACTTAATGCGGAAAGTGAAGTTTTCAAACCAGACAAACAAAACGTTTGCTAGTAAATTCCTGCCGGAGAGTTCTTTGTTCGCTAGCACAAAAGAGACACAAAGGATTGAAAAGGCTGAACAACAATTTTTGTCTAGTTTTGACGTTTCTTATAATGAAAGTACGTTACAAAACTACAAAAACTTAAGTGAAAAGTAGAAGCCAAGGAGTCGTAAAGTCAAGTGAAAAACAAACCATCTCGAACTCTGTTTCATGAGTGTTTGCATTTTCCACTAAATGAATATAATTATTTAACCTCAAGCTACATATTTACCAAAATAATCGCCTGACATAGAAATTTCTCAACCATGAAATTTTGTATAAATTGACCGTGAGAAAACTTATAGAAATACGCACTTTACTTTTTGGCTGTGGGACTGAACAACTTGTAAACATCCTTTTCGTGAATATTAAAATCGAATCATTTTGGAGAGAAGCCAAAGGATGCTGGACAAAATTTCACATACAATTAGTAAAAAAAGTTATAAAAATAAAGAAAGAAATGGAAAGGTAAAATAATATTCACTACACTGATAAATGTAATTCCTTGGAAAAAATATGTTTATTTTCGTAATTTAATGATATTCTTTATAGGTGATGTGAAAGTGACATAATATGAATCGCCAAAACTTGGACGAAAAATACGAATTAGGAAAAGTCTACCAAGTCTCAACAATGATTTTGTTCCTAAAAATCGTCATAATTCAAAAATAACAACGGTGAAATTTTTTAAAATTTTTCAGCCATCCCCGTGTCCTTCATTGTTTGAAACGACAAAAATACTCTAACGCTTCAGTTATTCGCACCAGCGTGCCCGAACTACAACGGTTTTAATTGAAATAAGTAATAAAAAATGAAACACAAACAGCCTTAATCATGAATGCTTTTTGCTGCCTCGTGGCGCGCTTTGCTTCTCACACTGAGAAGCAATTTTAAGTCAGGAATAATTTTCTTAGCGTAGAGGACAAATATAATTTAATAGTCGTATTATGTTAGGAGATGACTTTGTTTCTAACAGGAAGTGCACAATATAACAATTTTATCATTTTTATTAACTAGAAACGTACAGCCCCAGGTACTAGCGCCCAATAGACAGTGTTCTTAATTACTTAGAACAACTTTTTACAATTCAAGTTCTTAAAAGGAATCTTCGCACCTTCCCTTCGCCTTAAAGAGCCCACACAAAGTTGAATAAACATGTGCCATAGCCATCCTCGTATAATTCCTTACTTTTGTGTACGCAATATGCCATTTCACTCGTTTTAAACTTGTTTATAATGTAAACAAGGCACGCGCTCATTCATTTATTTCCTCTTGCATTTATTTCAGCATTTTTATTTTCATTAAGATTCGAGTTTACTCTCTTCAAAGCAGCTCCAAAATTTGGCTCAGTAATAACAGTCTCTAGCAAATGAAATCAGTTCGAGATGGGCATATACAGCTAAGCACACAAGAAACATGTACTATTTAACAATAATGTAGACAGTAAAACTCTCACGCTAAAACTTTTCACTTCGCGCACTCAAAAACAAACAAATACAACGACACGTTTGCTAAAATAAACGTTCCTTAAATTTTATACGTGACTCGGAAAAACTTTATACTCTCGGCAATAAACTCAAAACAAGCACTAGCGACTTTTTAAAAAACATTGAAAAGTACAGCTTAACTGTAACTTAACTAGAAACTTTGAATATTTTATAGACGCTTCAGGAAATATCTAAAACTATATGAAATCAAAATAGGTCATTAAAATAGCGCTCACAAGTTGCATGCGTTTGGGTTTGCAATGTACTTGATTATGTAGAATATTTCCACACATTTAGCACAAAATTGCAACTAATGGCAAACTAAAATACATTAGTCACCTTTAAAAGTTGATTCTGCTTAATCAAGGAATACGAGATCTTATTCCGTCGACCAGACTCACAAGAGATTCGTCTAAACGCTAAATTTTGCGACAACGCGTGTAAAGTCGAACAATGTCTCACTGCGACAAAGTGGTTTCGAGTAAGAAAAATCTTCCTTCAGTGGGAAAAGTGGGCAAAATCGTTTGTCAGGTCGAAGGGAAAATAGCTTTCGATAAAACCTACGACTTGAACAAAGTCTAAAAACGGTTAGTGAAAAAATTCTCGCCGTCGTTACGAGCGAGGGCCTATCAAATGTACATTCACTTGCTCACCAAAACCAAAATGGACATAACACGTTTACTTACATAAATATGAAGTAAACTTAATCAAAATTCTGAAATAGCTTTCATATTTCGCACGTCTTCTGCAATGGAAATTCGGCGAATTTTACATAAAAGTTTGGGTTTCGAATAATTGGCTTGTGGGTTTTAAAATTCAGATCTCGAAGCTCGGCGACGGGTGATTACAAAATTAAAATGCGCAAGGAATTTGAAAACATCAGACAACAGGTAAGTCGCTGAGGCATTCGATGATTATCAAAAGATCCTTTTATTTTTTACAAATCCCAGGATTAAGCAATAGAGAGCAGCCTCTCCTTGGAGTAAACAAAATCACCAACAAAAGAAGTGGCACAACGCAGACGGCGAACAATACTTCGAGAGAATATGTTGACGAGGTGGTTTTTGTTCCTGTTTTAGATCTTAAAATCTACGTAACAGGGCTTTTAAAGTCATTTCAACAAACGGCCAAGCTGCTAAGAGGGCTTTTGTTCCAACTTCTCACTCCCCTTTATTTAATTGAATCTTTTTTCTGCGTCCAAAGAAGAAAAATAAATATTAATAGCACTTTGTTTTAATATAGCTAGTCATACGTTGAACACCTTGCATGCTTGCTCGTCGAGCGAAAAACCTCTAATTTAGCTTGGGAAGAAAGCGTTGCTGAGATCGACCTTGATACCAGGTGCAAATAATATTTCGCATTGCATTGCGACGTTTCATTTCACGTTTAATTGCAACTTTTTGTCTTCTAAATAACAGCGACGTAAGTCGTCTATCACTCGGAGCGCGCCAATGAAAGCAAAGATATTTTTAATCGCATCCGAGCATAAGCTCGTCAACTCAATTTTGTGGAACATACATTAAATATGAGAACAGTGTTCCGCGCTATTTACCCAGCTCAAACAACAAAAATACACTTTAAAAGCCTTTGTCTACCAAGGTATAGTTCGCTGGAGACGCAAACATTATTGGCACTCCTTGGCACGAGAAGAAAACAGCATCGTGTTGCGGCAGCCAAATATTTTTCCGCGCAGATGTTCTGATCGGAGGCAATCGTTGATCGGATTTCGTCCAAAAGATCGATTCGCTTTATACAGCGCTTATTTTAATTTCACGCGGAAGCGAAACTGGAATTTTCGCATAGTGAAACCACCTACTGCTGTTTCTTAGAACAAATTATAAGACCTCATGAAAAAAAACAAAACAAGGAAAACAACTCTATTTTATTCTGACGAGCATCAACACAAACAATGAAAAGTTCTTTCATACACAGTTAAGCCGGGGAAACTGCCTTTCCTTAACACACAGTAGGAAGGGTAATTTAGCTTGGTTCAAACATAGTAAGGAACCATTAAAAATCTCTCTCGAGAAAGCACTTTGAAAAGCGACTTTGCAGGAAATCTATTGTCTTGCGACATAAAAGTTAGTTCCTAAATGCCTTCGGGGCAAACGAATTTGTCATAAACAAAACTGAAAGTCGCTTTCCCAAATATCGTATACCGTTTAGGTCTTATGACTTCAGGAAATTAACTGATTAATTCTCGGGGCATTCTCTGTTTTTTTCTGAAATTTTACGGTTTTCTCCTTCGATATGTGAAAACAACAAAATGAACTGTCGCAAGAATCATCCTGATAACCACGAACGAATACAACATTGGCACAAGGTCGCGAAATGCACTCAGCCTACCGGACAAATTAATTTTACACGAATATAAATAATCGCAAAAAAATGGGCTTCCGCCGATATAGAAGACTAACAGGGATCAAGAATAAGAAAAGGCTATTTGCTTGCTTAATCAGGCCTTTCCATGAGGACTGTATTTTTAATTTCGGAAGCCCTTTCTGGGGTAAAGTAATTAACAGCAGTGACATGCGCGGTGCAAGAGACAATCGAGCCGACATTTTGAACGGCACTTCAAGTCTAGCTTTTACCGAAACAGAGATAAATAAAAATGATTTGTTTCACCCCATTTCTAATCCTAACGAGTACAAAAACTACACTGCGAAGCTAATAAAATTTCACAATCCTATCGAAGTAAAACAAAGGTATAAAATGAGATGTTTCCCCAGGGGCGAACGACGAACATTTCAATTATTCCCATCAACAATGAAGCTTAAGTAAAGAACTTGTTCGCAATGAATACATATGGGACTTCAAGAACGCGTCAGAGCTCACGTATCTCTCAAGTTGACTTGTAATGCGTTTTAAAACACTCTGCGTCGACGGTCAGCAGAAAATTTTAATCGCTTTTGAGCAGAATTTGATCAACATGTGTGGTTTCGCTGCTTACACGTGTGTACACCCATCACGCCCAGCTTTTAAAGCTATCGAGCTGTCAACACGATCTAGAACAAATAGCTTGGAGTGCAATTTTCTAAATGCCTTCGTTTCCCTGACATCTTATTTCCTCGGCGGTCAATATATCGTAGGAACACAGCCACAATAACTTAAGATTAGGAAAGAAATAAAGAAAGATAGAACTCACTCACTGCTATCAAACCATCGGCTGAATGTCTGATATATTAGACGATTTCAATGCCATTTGACCAATTGATTACTACTTCTGTGAAAGGAAAATTGTTTTACCTCCATGAACTGCATATTGGCGTCGCCTAATTCTCGAAATACAACTTCCGTAGTCAAGCACGCGCGAAAAGTTACGACGTGAAGCGAATTCGTTCGTTCATCCCGTCGACTTGAATTAGCTCAAGAGTCATGATACATCGCATTCATAAATATGTTAACGCAGTAAAATATTCATCTTATTAACATAATACAGAAGCAGCGCGAAAGAAAGATTCTGCATTTCCTCGTTCAACATAGCACACACTTAAACACCAATCTCAAGACCCTTTTCGTTGCTCAAAACTGAAATGGCGGCAACTCAAAGGTGGCCGCCCGTTTTTCTCAGGAGCACTTCACCATGGCGCCACAAGGCGTACTACATTTGACATTTCAAAAGTTACTTTAGTATTCGTTAGTGTTGGAAAACGTCGAGATGAATTTTAATTTCGTCCACCAAGAAAATTCTACCGGGTAAACAAGGGCGAAAGTTTTCTTTGTGAGTCGTCCTTGTCAAACTGTGTAAGAACTAGGAGAATCGGCCTTGTTTGCCGAGCTAATTAGTTGTCCTACAGCGCATTCTTTGCTCCGTCTTCCGTTGGTAAGGCAGGCTTTTTACACAAAAATAGAAATAAGGAAGATCAGAGAGTGTACTTTAAGCAGTGAGAAACAGAGAGAACAAGATAATCTTAAACGAGAAATTTTATTCACAACTCATACAACATCCCCAATCGACTACACATCAGTTGTCCATATTTGTCAGGCTAACAACATGCGAGCTCGTTAACTGAAAGTCACTTTCCAAAGTCCGACAAAAACGCGTTGATTTTGACTGCCTAAAACTCATGAATATATTCCTCAATTATGGAAAACAGTTCCAGTATACAATTGCGTTTAACGTACTGCGAGAGCTGATGCAACATACTTCAAATGTCAGATATTGTTTGAACTAACATAAACAGCAAACTGTGACTCAGAAGAGTACAAATTCGAAGATTTGAATCGCAAAAAAGGGTGTAATTTGAGAGCAAAGTTAACAAATTCTGTCCCGGAATAAATGTGAATGAAGAAGAAAACGAAAATTCTGGATATTTTAGAAAAGACTTCTGTATTTTTAGCCTGTTATATTTGTAGCAATTCAATGTTTCTGTACATGTGGCCGCGAGCACAATTCCATCGAGAAGATTCAACGGAAAAATTGCCACGAAGAGAACACACGTAAAAACATTTTTCCTATCTAACAATTTTACCTTTGCCTTTTAAAATTAATAAGCATGGTTTTGTTTTTTATCAAGAACATTTAAATGTGGTGTCGTTACAGAGAGTGAAAATTCATCCAAAGCAATTCACGCGACAGGTTCTCGAATCGACACCAAAAACATGTCCGTCGCGACGAAACATGTTGAACACGGCAAAACCAATTGTTATACGCACATCGACAAGAATAAAACGCTTGACGGAAATGAGTTGTAAACACCTTGTTCCTCAGCTCGAAATAAAGTCCATTTTTAGCCTGAATAATACAAGTCTGGCGTGTATAAACTGAATTCTGTTTCGATTTCAGACGAAAGCAGCAAGTCGTGTTTAAAACTTACGGCTGACTAGGGCGGTGACACGAACCATTCTGAACCAAGCTTTTTCATTACGTCGTCGCTTCGTTCGCCTCAAAAGCAAGAATCCGTTCGTGAGCGAGCATATTCCTGTCTTTACAAATTCAAGAAACATAGTACCTTTAATGTATGGCAGAATTTAAATAAGAAATTGTTTCGATTTGCATACATCAGCAGAGTCATGAATGAACTTCTTTGCTATGCATCTACAGCTCACTTTATCTCGCCACAAAATACTGCCGAAACAAACTATGCTCAAACGAGAACGAAAAGATAAGAAAATACTTAACAATCGATTTAAAAGAAAAGCCCACGAAATACTGAGCTTGACAATTAAAAGAACAGCGAAAAATATGCGCAAAACTCGTTCAATAACTAAAGCCTAAAAAGCAAACCAGCACAAGACAGGCTAAACTGAAAAGGTTTTAATAACTTATCTGAGGGTACAGTATGATGGCTGGGAAAGCATGCATGTTTAACATAGAAAAGTACGATAAATATATTGTTCACATTGCCAGAAAACAACTCTAAATAAAGATTTTTTTAAGCCCAGAATATGAGCATATAGGTTTCTTGGCGAGTAGACAAATGATACGCGTCCATCGAGGGTATTTACATATGATCCTTCGGACAAAAACCCTTCACTTGGGCCTTGTAGCAATGATAAACACAGCGAAATGTTCGTGTTAAAAGAAACTGCTAGTCCTAGATACTTTTCCCCTGGAATTCCTCTAAACTTAATGCAAAATACTCTAGCTTTCAAAGTAAGTATTTACATACAATCATGCCCATAATATTAGAATACCTTTTTGCATATCCTTAGAAAGGCGGCCGACTTGAAATCGAAATTCTCTCCGAGCGCTTACGCTTGCTGAAATTAGACTATTTCACATTCAGCTTCCCTTTCGAGACGGCGTACAAAATATGTCACAGTTAATCGACTTAATACGCCTGTCTGTAAGTTAAGTTCCTTGTTCGTTCGCGCAATAGAAAAATACATTTTGGCCACTATATATTTACGAAGAGTAGTAGAACACACATAAAGTCTCACTGCGGGCCTGCAATGTGCGCACCAACAATATGTGGAGAAGAAACATGACCAGACGATACGTGAGGCGAGGAAACATGAGGAGACCCAACGTGTTGATCTTCGGCTCCACCAGTAACTGAAGCAGTCATTCGCTTTTCCTTCTGACGCCTGTTGCAGAACCACACTCGAACGACCTCTTTATCGAGTCCGAGGTTTTCAGCGAGCGTGCCGATCTCTTGCGCCGACGGTTTGGGATTTTTACAAAAGTGATTCTCCAGGGCACCCTTAACGGCCACCTCGATGGAGGTTCTCTTCTTGCGTTTGCGACCCTGAGTGGCCAGCTTGTCGATGCCACTCGCAGCACCGTTGTTGTTATCCGCCTCTTCGAGCCATTTGCCTAACAAGGGCTTGAGCTTACACATATTCTTAAAACTCAGCTGCAGAGCCTCGAAACGGCAAATGGTGGTTTGACTGAAAACATTTCCGTACAGTGTACCCAGCGCTAGCCCGACATCAGCCTGGGTAAAGCCAAGCTTGATTCTACGCTGTTTGAATTCTTTCGCAAATTGTTCCAAGTCGTCAGACGTAGGAGTGTCGTCCTGTGTTTCTAGTTCGGGGTGAGATCCGTGCGGCGCATCTTGGCCGTTCGGATTTTCGCGAATTGTTTGTGCCGTTTGCGGGAAAGCTCCTTGAAGTTGGACCGTTCCGTTTATCGTGCCGTACGATGGATGAGCCGTTGGAACGGCTTGCATCGCGCTGCTGATATGGATACGCGTGTGATCAGGCGAGTGTGCCCCATGCGATGCAGAACTGGGCCAACGTGGTTGCTCTAAAGGCATTACAGGGTGGCCGCCAGGTCGATGATGGACGAGCGTTGCTCCAGCAATTGTTGTTATAACAGGCGAAGCATCCTCTCTTAAGATTGGTTTAACTTCTTGTAAACTCACTGTGTTCGCTGGCCAACCAACGGCTCCAGTATGGTCTTGTACAACCCACTGGTGCGTCGGGAGGTGATTATTCCCTACTCGTTGGTCGTTCAGCGAAGCTACGCTCGCAGCCGGAGCAAGATTCTCATATTTTACAACAGTGTGTTCATCTCGCACGTACGCCATGGTGGTCGGATGATTTTGAATAACGCGAGTTTCGCTCTGCGTGGAGGCCGAGCCGACTTGATTTGAGTAAGGGTTCGTTTGCGCTTCCATTGTAACAAGCTTGGATTAACTTGCGTTCAGCTAAAACTCGGCTTTTTTGCCGCCAGCCTCATGAACGTGTCCAAAGATCTGTTGATATCCTGAGAGCTTATTGGACAGTGCTGTGGTGAGTGACATTCTATTATTGCTTAATTAATCATGATTCATAACCCCGAGCTCCGCCATTGGTTCACTGCGCACGGGCGATTCGGTTGTCAATAGTTACAATGCGGCGTGAAGAATATGCTAATTGTTATCTAGAAGTTGTTATTCATTGGATCGCTGCTCAATCCGCTCCTTTGTTCGCCTCGAAACCTCATTACCACAATTGCAAATGAGTTGAAAGCGTTTACAAAATATAATCACGCTGGGACAATGAAATATGCCTGCGTGTGTTCTAATATTAGAGGCTTTTGTTCCGATGTAGTTGTGGAGGGCGGGAGAGCCGGAGGGTGTCATCAATTCGTCGACAGATTGATATCCAAAGTGCCAAAGATCTTTCAGCTTTTGTTTTTTATTCCGCTGCTGACAGCTTAATTTCAAGAGGGTCTAACAATCGAGTCGACTTTCGAGAGGCTAGGTTGTTTTAGCCATATGCGAAACAGGCAGCTTAGAATTCTAGCACTTCCGTAACGTGTTGGCGCTATCATCACCTTAGTTTGCGGTTGGTTTTATTTAACCGTAAATGCTTTTTCCGCCTCTATCGCGTCAGAAGCCGTTTAGCAAGCGACTAGAAAGCTAATATTACCGCCAGCTGCTTTTTAGAATCAGAAATTCGCTACTAAAGCCATCCCAAAATTTCGACAGCGCGCACCTTTTCCTTGTGTGCGCAACAAAAAAAAAGGCACCTTGCTCGAGACAGCTCATGAAAAATTCACGTATCTTCGAACACGAAGAAATATTGGCACAACGGATGAAGGAAAGCGTGCGTGGGATAAAAGTTAATTTGTGGCGTCCACGCACGCGTGTAGGAAGCTCACCCCTATCGCAACATTCATCTCGACCTCTTGAAAGTGAACAAAAAATTATTCTTGTGAATGCTATTGAGACATCACTCTGTAGTGCGGATGGACTTCAAAGATTTCCTGAGTGATAGCCATCGCCGCAAGAACCGATGTTGCCTGATCGCATCTTTCTTGGTTATTTAGATATTTCACAGGCGGTCCTTTTCGAGAGACTAATGCTCTTGAGAAGGACCAATTGCTCTTCCGTAACATCCTTGATAGATACCAAAATAGTCCTAGGGAATATCACGGTTTAATGTACGCCTGACGTCACAACACTGGCGAAATTTTCAAGGCATGGCAGAAAAAAAAAAAAAAAATTCTTGAACGAGAAACATCGCCAGCGTGACTGGCGCGAGACTTAAGCATCATTGCGCTCTTACACTCGAAAAAAACAAACTTATCTTTCAAATTGAAAATTGAGTGAACTCGTCTTTTGATCGACGAAATTCGACAAGAGAACTGTTGGGGATCTGAAAATCGGAAATGTCTCTGGGACCACCTGTAATTAGAATTGTCCGCAACTGCGCGAATGCGTCAAGTTGGGCTCCGTTCGCACGTGACAAAATTCCTTTAGCGCGCGCGTTACCTCGCAAGAAAATTTTCCTGATTCATTGAGGTTTTGTTTACAGCGATGCTGAGAAAGATTCATAATTTCAATTAAAGTGTTTATACTCGTGAAAGAAAAGTCTCTCTAAAGCCATAAACGATACCTCGAGGACAAAGAAAATTCGTTTTAGACCTTTCAAACTGTTGGCGACGCGTTGCATAAATGAATATTCTGTTGTTCACAGTTTCGACGCCTCGAAGCAATAAAAAGTCAAAATTCCCCGGTAGTAAAGAACAACTTTCGTTGGACTTTCGAAGACGAGACTGACAAAAGTCGAGGGCGCAAATGGAAAGTTGTATGGGACAATAAAATTCTACAGTTACAAATGTTTTTGGAAAATTAAGAGTTAACTATACCACAACGCCCTAGTGAAAACAAAGACGTTGAATAAACTTGCTTCTCAATTTCAGTACGAATCGTTTGATTTCAAGGCTGCAAGCATCGCCAGGCTTACGAAAATTGCAAACAATAAGCGAAAACACTCGGTTAAGCCTCCCTGGGACAAAATATCTGTGTCGAAACTCTAAATGTGCCCGCTTTTCGAAACAGAAGGCACAACATTCAACTAACATTTTAGCTAACAAAACCAATACGAAATACGCTTACTTACTGCGCCAAATCTCGCCCAAGATTCTCGCTTCACCGTACACCCTTCATTGTCTGAGTAGAAACCCTAAAGCCACAATCCAAATGCAAAATTTCGATTGAGTTTTTCCTCGTCGGTACACTTTCCCACACGCTTTAACGCCAGCACAAACAATAGCGATCCAAGCGGGTTTCACAGTCATACATAACAAGAAGGAAGCGAAATATTTTGCAATTCACATTCGCAAAGAAATTAGCATCTATACATATACATGGTTGTACGTAAATACTTGAGTAGTGTTTAAGTTTATATTTGTACGGTCGATCAGTAGCTCACCGAATGCGACCTAACAGAGGTCGAGAACTGTGCGAAACAAAACTTAGCTGAGCAAAATGTGCACAACGAAGGTATCTTCAGCCAGCGACAGGCTGAATTCTATAACAAGACGATTCAAGACCGAGTATTACAACAACACTCAATATTGCCATGTTTTGCAATTGTCTTAATTCGCGGCCCCCAATTTATGACTTTATATAGACTTGTTAATGACGTTCACGAGAGATCTGAGGTAGTTTGTTCCATTGCAAGATTATATGCAGGAGAACTAAAACAAGAGGAAAACTAATTTTACGGAATTATTACTTCACTGAGCTGAATGAGTACTTTGAAATATGCAATTTAGTGCTTAACTGAAGTTCTTTGGACTCTTTGCATTATGCAAGATAGAGGCTGTAGCACCGTAAAACATAAATTTGCAGCCTTTAGCGGGCAAAATGGGAACTTATTTATTGCAAAGACGATCATTTTGGAAGAGAGGATGCTCGTCCATCCACCACTTTGAGTTACAAGTTTTTTGAAATACAAAAATAAGGAATGTTTCAAAATTGCTCTGACTCATGATAAAAAAAAAAAAAATAAAAAAAATACGGAGAGCAAATTTCCTTTTATGTTTTGGATAGTTTCAATATGCGGATATGGAAGTGAATTACGAAATATTCAACTGGAATGAAAACAAAATTTGTGTAGTAATGGGTTCATTTGTTTCCACAGATATTTTTATCTATTTCATCCTATTTTTTTTCGATCAATATTTTTTTTAATTTGGACTCCAAAATCATTTTGCGCTAATTTTGGCTTATTTGAAATCTAATGGAAAATTATACGTTTGAAGTTGTTCCCGCTCTGTTTTAATAGCTCTGGTTTTTCGAAGGTTTTTTTTGTTCTTATCTTCCTTAGCAATAAAATGCATTTTTGAGATAACAAAAAGACTGAGCGGAGACAAATTAACTGAACTCAATAGCGGACAAACATCAAATAGTAAAGAGAGCAGAACTCTTTAATTTTCCTGAACAGATAGAGTCGAAAACTCTCTGTTTCAAAAAAAGAACAAATGGTCCGAAACTTTCTGGACACATACTGCGTGCGAGCTGTAAAACTTGAAAAGTTCGTCGAACCCCATCTGGAGTCAGTCGGTAAACATAAATGGGGAAAATTCATATCTATTTGATTTAATGAATTTCTAGTCGGCTCCAAAGCCTGTCGCAAATCACCCGAAACTGCCGCCAATCGCTCGACTTGAGACAAGGGGACGTCAACTAAGACATCCAAATTGCTTCAGATGAAATTCAATTTGCACGCGAACAGGGAAAAAAGTTCATTCTTATTCGCTATCAACAGGAATTGCACAGAATGACAATCAGTGGGAAAATAACCTTCTGTTGATTTGCAAAGCGGTGAAACAAAATGTTCTGCGTTCAAAGCCTGTGAAATAACATACGCACAAAGATACAGCACCCTGAATTTAAGGACCTTTTCTCTCAGAACACGTGCAAGTGTCAATTTCGAATCGTGCGCCCGCGCCTAATAACGAAAGATCATAGATTAAAAAGAATTCGATTGATAGCCCCGCGCGATCGTTTCAGTTCATCACAGGCACGTGAAGTGCTAAAGGTTTCGATCTCCAGGGCTAAAAGCGTTCAGTCTTTCTTTCATCCTGGAAAAACTAAACTGCATCCGTAACACGACAAGACTATCACTGCTTTTAGCGCGCGGTAGCTATTGATTTGTAAAGATGGAAGGTAGAATGTGAGCCTTTCTGAACAGACCTTGTCACTTGCCACACAGGTGGCCACGGGTAGTTAGTTGTTTGGCAAACAAAACGAAAGTGAACGACAGGGGGAACACAGGAACTGCAGCAAAGAGCAAACAGGGAATCACGGAAAAATGTGCGTTTTATTGACAGGCCCTCGCTAAAGATGTGTAATAGATCTTTGATTGCACCCGTGTAGTGTTTCGCGTTTGATGCTTCCATTTAACATACATATTTTATTACACTAATGTGGACATTAAACAGTTTGCGGCAGCCAAAAATTAATTGAAGGCTGCATTCGTTAAGTGAAGTAAATTGTAATTCAAACTACAAATTCAGGCTAAATTTCGGGCAGTCAGCCATAAAAAAAAAAAACCATCGGCAAATACAAATTTAAACGCACTATCATTAACCTGAGCTGTATTTGCTCGCTCGCCTCTGTAAACAAAGAACGCAGAGAAAAAATTAATGTTTTAGCGCTGAAATTAGTAGAAATGATCCTATGCAAATAAGGAAACCTTCATTGTATAGAATTCCACGCCCTGAGATGAAAGCAGAGCACAATGAAAACTGAAATCTAATCCAGGATTTTAACTGCTGTAACCACAAACTGAATGAAATAGCTTGAGTCGGTAAGGAACTTTCAGGAAACGATATCAGGGGAAAAGTGTGTTATTTACTTTATCTCGAATGAGTTAGTTTCATTAGCATTAATTAGCCAACCTAGAAACCTGCTTTTCTCATCTACAGAGAAAACATTGACGCTAAATAAAGTGCATTTCTGACGAAAGCTAGTACAGTTAAGGATCGCAGCTTTAAAGCGCATTTAGTTGAAGCATGTACTACTTTTTTCGAGTTTACTGGCCTTTAGGAACGAAGTATTACGTCGTAGCAATTTTTTTCTTTCGTGATCTACTGTCGTTTGAAATTCAGCTATGTTAGTCTTTTTCCCAACATGAAAAAAGAAACACCTTGCTCCTTTTTGATTAATTATCAAGTAAATTCCTTGCAGGTTTTGCGGTCGATACAGTATCATTCTATACCGCAGAGAGCCGAGGTTTTTCAGATGCAGAAGGTTTTCGTTCTGGGACCGAAAACAATGATGAATGGTAAAAATGCCAGTTACAAACTGAAATACAAGCCCATCCTTCAATTCTCCTTATTGTGTGAATACAATTTAGATATTTCTCGTTGTCTTGGTGCCTTTGAAATTGAGGACGACCAAGAAATGTAGCAAGATTAGTGAGATCTCCATATGGAGCAACAGAAAAACTAAAAAAATAAAGTAACTAGATTTCGAGCAGTCTTGCATCCTGTTTTGTCTCTCCAAGGACGCCCGGGGTGAAACTGTTAGTTTTGAACTTAAAAAAAAGGACGGCGAATTACCAATACGAAGTTATCCTAACACTTCACACCCTGAAATCCGTATTCTTCATTCTCTTCTCTACACATTTCCTTTCGTACTGACGAAGAGAATTGTTTATTCTTTTACAATCAAAGCTTCTCAGGTTGGCCGCATCATTTGCTTGATTCTCGGGATCTTAATGAATGACTCAGCAATATCAATGTAAGGAGAAATTAGACGCTGGTCACTCTTATGGTTTGAATTAACCTCCCCTGTCCTTAGTCATCCCGGTTCCTTTATAGTTTTTTCATTGCTTCCTTTAAGTATGTCCTCTCACACAACCAAGATTGAGAAGTCCCGATCAAGTCTGCGAAGTTAGTTTTGCAAGGAAAACTAAATTGGAACGACAAAAATATCCTGAATAGACTCCTTTCACTATACGGCGGATTCCCCACCAGTGGCAACTATCTCTATCGCAGGCGTGAGGTACCTTATACCGAGAAACTTAATTCAACCTGCACGGAGACCTAAGTTCCCGTTGCCTTTTCTGTTGCGGTTTTCTCCGCTTTCGCTACTCAAATTACAAGGTCAATGCTGTAATGATTCAGAGTTCGATCAGACCTCGACTGGTAAACTAAACAATAACAGACCAAGAATTCATTGCTTGAGTCACATCGGGGAAATGATTTCCTCGTTAAACTAAAAAAAAAAAAAGTCAAGCCGTTATCACTCTTAAAAAGTCACCTGTAATTGCTGATTAATCGAATGTTTCAGTTCTTTTGTGACTCTCTCTGTATTCACTGCATTAGCTTTCGTTTTGTTGTACTGATATTTTTAGTTGTAACAACGCTCTGTGTTCGTGTGAAAACACCTTTACTTGAGGTAGAGCTGAAAGTCACCACATCAATATTTTCTGGGGGGTGTCATCAATTCTGTGTGATTATTTAAAGACAAGACAAAAGAAATTCGTTTCAGCTCGAGATAATTTATTTGTTCCTTTCTATCACGGAACACATTTCACTTGATGTCTGTCTAGGCACCGATGAATAACAGCTAAAACAAGCAAGGAATGTTAATTGTGGATCTACCGCTGATTGCCGTAGACAAACTGCCGCCGGCATTCTAAGAGAACCAGGTTCAAGGTATATTAATTCCCGGGTAATCCTTAATGGATCAAAACCGAGCTTTTCCGACTATCAATCAGAGAGCAAAACAGAAAGCTGTAGCGCTTAGCCTGGCGTGTGGTCATTAATCAACGTCAAGTAATACTGAAAGAGAAATGCTAAAGAAAAAAAATCGTACGCCACGAAAACAACTCACTTGATATTTCAATGAGGCAGGGTAATCGTATAGTTCGTCAGATCTCTCTCGTTAACTTTGATCACGGAACTCTGTAGAGGACAGATGTGTATATTTTCTCGCACTTCTATTAACGACCCACATAATTGCCTTTTAGTAAGGAGTTTCCTTTCTAATGAAAAGATTAATTGTTGTTCGAAGAAAAAACATTTGGAAACAGCTGCAATATAACCACGAAAAGGAAAAATCTTGATTCGAAAAAAAAGAAAAAAAAAAAAAAATTCATCCTAATCCTGGCCTGAATAATAATCATTCACCGTTTGTACTTTTGGAAACAAGGATGTTAACTTGAAACAATTGTGGACCGGTGCAATATTCGCGGGAGATGTAAGGGTTTTCGCTTAGTAAAAAATTCGTGCTGCACGCGAGGTTTGATTCTCGTTCGTGGCCTTCTCGTTCAAACGCGGAACATTCATTAACATGAACTGAAGCAAGTGAATATATCCCCCTTCCTTTATCTAAATGGCCTCGCGTGGCAAAAGGTTAGGAATAAAAATTTGTTAACTTGTCATTTTGTCACACAATTAAAATTCTCAGTCTCCTTGCGCCAAGATTTCTATCTGATATCTGAGGATAGGATCAATTGCTGATAGAATCTTCATGTTCTTCGTTAAGACTGGGGGGAGCACTCTTATTTTTAATGAAACCACAACAATCTTCATGTTCTTGGTTAAGACTGGGGGGAGCACTCATTTTTAATGAAACCACAACACGCGTCAATAATCAAGATATTTATTTGATTTATGAGCTGACTATTCCTTCATTTTCCTTGAAATGATGCTGAAAATTCGATTAGAAAAACTTCACGCTATGCAAGAAATAACTGCAAGGGCAAAAACTAATTTGTACCTTTGAATTCAAGACTTTGAATGCACTCCAAGCATTTAAGACAGGACTTTTTTTTAAATACAGATAGAGTATGCGTTCGTTTCTCCTTGTCTTTCTGAGACCACAAGGATCAGAAATCGATAAGCTTTGGTGTTATCGATTTTTAACGCAAGAAGCAAAAAGTTACAAAGACTTACTCAGGTTTTGTAATTCATCATAGTTATTAAGACCAAATACATCGTACCGGTTTGCACTTCGGTGTTCGTGAAACCTAACACGAAAGTTCACACTTAAACTATTAAAACTGTTTTTTACTCGATGAAAGCTAGACTCAGTGACGAGACAAGAGGAAATACCTCAAACCATTTTCAATTTCACGCCTCTAGCACCTTAAGAAGATCACTAGATGCGGTGACAGATTTGGGCGACCCGGGTTGTTAACGTCAAGTCAAGCGATGAAAGCTTGAAGTATCACTTTATCAAAGCAAACACCTACGTTTCCTTGTCGATGCCTTGGAATGTTTGCCTTCGTTTTAACGTAGCTCAGGTTAATTGAATATTGTCTGAAGCTGTTTATGCATTCACAGTTCGCTAATCGAGCCACGTGGAGTGAAAATTTATTAACGCTTTCAACAAAAACATCGCATTGACGTGTGAAAGGAAGTTGGTTAAAACAACACAGAGTCACGCGTTTTAATTCAAGAGCAAAGTGTAAAATTCCACAGCCTTTGTCCTCCCGTTTTCTCGAGTAAATAGAGTTTTTCTTTATGTACACAGCCACCCGAGACTGTTTCCCTAGGTAAATGATGTCTATTGAAAGGGCTTTAGCCAGATGTGGTTTTTCTCGGACATTTAAAGAAAAACGATTGACAGATAGCAAAAGAAACGAAGATTGATCGAAGAAACATTCAAAGAAAAAGATGTGCTTGTTTGATTCCCACAAGTTTTATGCTAAACCGGCCACCCAAGACTACGGGTTTTAGATTCGGGTGCACTTTGAAAGCTACGTTTGGCCAAATTCGTCCTCAGTTGAACCACAGGAAGGCCACACAAGCGGCGTGTCTGGTCGTTTGTTCGAAATATAAAGAAATGTATGGGAGAATATGGAAGAGTCGTAATATCGTAAACTTATATCAAGGAATGTCTATGTTAAGGCTCAAAATAAATGTAAACCTACCTCACTTGCTGTGTATTGTTTCTGTGGTTCAAAATGGCAAATTTGAGCGATTTGGTAGTAACACTCAACGCAAACTCTACCGCCATTTAGAACCACAGAAACGACAATACACAGCAAGTGAGGTAGGTTTACATTTATTTTGAGCCTTAACATAGACATTCCGTGATATAAGTTTACGATATTACGACTCTTCAATACTCTCCCATACATTTCTTTATATTTCGAACGACCAGACACGCCGCTTGTGTGCGCCCCCTGTGGTTGAACCCACAAGCGAACGGCTCTGAGAGCGTGTTGACAAGTACGCCACACTACAGGGATGTAAAGAAGTGTACTGTCACGAATAAAGCACATTCGACGCAAATTGGTCTAAAAAAATCTCAGTAAAGTTAAGTGAAAATGTGAATGCACCAAATTTAACTTCATTCTCTTCTTTTACATTTTTTCTTTTTAAACCCGCCCAGCAGGAAAAAGTGATTCATGAAAAAGGAGTTATAAACTGCTCAGGGTGGAAACAAAACACTACATTTCAGTGCATCAATATTTCAGTTAACTGACATTTCAAAACCAAGATGCGTGGAAAATTCTGTTATTCAGTGCTTAAATCCTTGACCCCTAAAAATGATTAGTATCCAATTTCTCCCTGCCGCCTCACCCCCGAGTCAAACAATTAAGTCTTGAGAATAAAGGAAATGATCACCATCTACTGAAGGACGCTCTTGATTGTGAACAGTATGGAGAATATGCACGCT